TTCATTGCACACCAACTGAAATATTTCAGGTCTTTAATTGTTTTAATACTGATGATTATGATTATTATATACACATTTTACCCCTTGACAAAATGTTTGGGATAAAAGACAAAATAAGTCAACAAGAAGTATCTGTCTGGAGGACCTGACTTTACTTTGGTAGATTTTTCTACCTGGATTATTGAGCATGCATCAGGATATTTTATCCCTTGCTGATTTTGTAGGTTTACTTACAAAAAATGAACAGTCCTAATTTTTGACCTTATTTTAGTTGAAACACAGAATGTCAACAAACAGTGTTACAAAAAAGTAAACTTATTTACATATTATTGAGTGAAATGAAACATTTGATCCTCAAGAAAAACAAGATTCAGTATTTAATGGGAAAACCTTTGTTGGCCATAACAGCAATTATGTTTTGTCTTCTAACCGGTCACCACTTTTGCACACAAGAACTATTTTGATCCACTCTTTTTTACAGAAACTAAAATCTTTAGGTTTCTTGACTGCTGTGTGTCAATTCAAAGCTTCATCTCCATTAACATATTTTCAGGCTGAGCTTTGGAGACTGGCTGGAACACTCCAAAACCTTAATGTGTTTCTTTTTTGCCAGACTTTTAATGCCTTGGTGGTTGATATGTTTTAACTTATGGTCCTTTTCCACTGTCTCAACTCTCATCGGTTCCACACCACACCGTACCAGTTAAGGGTCTGCCCACTGCCAGTACCCACCCCCACTCAGCCCAGTTTATGGGACCACCTTGTTTGTGTTTCCAAGCGAACTGCTCTGAGATAGCAATTATGATGTAAGCAAACAGAAGCCGTTTATTGGCCAACAGAGCTACGTCACTGGATGACCCGCCCAGCAAAACTGCAAACTAAATCTGAACCTGCACTTCCTCTTCGTGTTGATGGACGGAGTCACAAGAAATGAGTACATTTACTGAAACATATCAGAAATGATGGCGCAGCATGGCTACACCCAGACTAAGCAATGCCGGGATAAGCTAACAAAACTGAAGTCTGATTATAAGACGATTAAGGATGGAGGTGGAGTGGCTTGAACACAAAAAGACCAACTATGATCCTGCCCACAGAGCGGAGAAACCAGTCAGTCTCTACTGTAGTGGCAAATCACCTACACCTGAGTGTGGGAATCTGCATTTTGTTCTGTTTAGTTCCTTGTGTTTCCTGCACTTCCAAGTGTTCTCCCTCCTTCTTGTTAGCTCCTATCTCACCTGTCTCAAATACCAATCCTAATCACCTCAGGTGTTTGTCATTTCGTCTTATCAGCCTCCTTATAAACAGTGGCTTTTATTTCCTCCTTTGTCCGTGGATTATGCTCCAAAGCCTGTCATGCTTTGTTTTCCTCCGTGTCTCCCTCCTCCATGTAGTGGAGGGTACCGCAGGGGTCCATCCTCGGTCCCCTTCTCTTTTCTTTATACCTGCTGCCACTAGGTGCTATCTTCCGCAAACACGACATACCCTTTCATTTCTACGCCGATGATTGCCAAATTTACTTCCCCCTGAGGCACAGAGGCACACGCTCTATTCAGCCTCTTCTTGACTGCTTGGCTGACATCCGGGACTGGATGGCTTTAAACTTCTTAAGCTTCAATGAGAAGAAGTCTGAAGTCATGCTGTTCCATCCCAGTGGCTCACTCATGAACCATGACATTGACCTTTTCTCTCTAGCCCCGCTAGAGAAACAAAAGGTCACTAATCTGGGGGTGAAAATGGACCCGTCCTTAAAACTCAACAGTCACGTAAACATGATGGTAAAATCCTGTTTTTTTCAGCTGAGACGGCTGTCTAAGCTGAAGCCTATACTCTCCAAAAAGAACCTTGAGACAGTGATCCACGCCTTCATAACATCTAGGCTTGATTACTGCAATTCACTTCTGTTTGGAATCAGTCAGTCCTCCATTGCTCGTCTACAACTGGTCCAAAATGCTGCAGCCCGATTTTTAACTGGTACAGGCTATAGAGAGCACATCATGCCAGTTTTGGCCTCCCTGCACTGGCTACCCATTCACCTTCGGATCCATTTCAAAATTCTCATGTATGTTTTTAAATCACTGAACAGTTCCGCCCCATCCTATCTCACTGATCTTCTGCAGCCATAAGTCCCACCGCGCTCTCTGAGGTCAGCAGACCAGATGCTTCTCTCAGTCCCAGAAACCCGTCGTAAGCTCAGAGGTGACAGGGCTTTCTCTGTTGCAGGTCCACGACTGTGGAATGAGTTGCCACTGAGTGTCCGGCAGGCTCCCACACTCTCAGTCTTTAAGTCTCGCTTGAAGACCCACTTCTATTCGCTTGCCTTTAACAAGGTGTGATTTGTTTTGGCCCGGTCTGTTCTCTACTCTGTTGGCCATTTTAGTTAGCTTCTGCTGCTATTTGTATCTGTATTTCTATTTTATGTTTTCCTGTCTGCTGTGCATGTTTGTGTTCTTTTGTACAGCACTTTGGTTGGCCTTGTTGCTGTTTTAAGTGCTATATAAATAAATTGGTATGGTATGGTATGGTATAGTATGTAAGTTTTGCTGCCCTGACAGTTTTTGCCTTAATTTTTTGTTTAAATTAATAGACTCACTTTATTTTAACCTCAGAGGCTCCTGTTGTCTGCCTGCACATGGGTTCCAACACATTAAAACCACAGATCATGTTAGAATCTACAGACCAATACAAAAACCCAGCAGGTTGTCTGTTCCTCACGAAGCTCACCCTCGAGGACCATCAGCGGCCCAGCAAGGCCACCTCCAATGATCCATGGGAGAGGATGGTGGCCATAAAGGACTTTGTGGATGAGTTTACCCAGCTGCCAGGCTGACCACTGATTCTCATTAAACCCCTCTAAATATTGCTTTTTCTGCCTCTCTGTGAATGGCCAATGCCTGTATTTTGACCATGATCTCAGACCCTGGACTCAAGGAGTTGTGAGTTTCCAGAACCAAGCTCCATGAGCTGAAGAGGAGGGTTTGCTGGACTTTCCAGACTGCACTCACGTATCACATGATCTGGCTGTGCCTCCATCCCTCCTAACCTCCCTTCCCTCTGACATCATCGCAGCTGCTGCATCACCACCTGTGATCAAAATTTGCAGTTTCAGCTGACGTTCTCCCTCAGGAGTTCCTTTTCTGACAAATATTCAATAAATCTTTTCGTTCACTCGTGTTGTGGCTGAATTTCCGGGTCCCCATTGTACAGAACATTGATACAGAAATCCCTCAAATCTGGCATAATTCGTCCATCTACATCAACTGTTGAAGCAGGGTTCTTTTTTGTCTCAAAGAAAGACAAAACACTGAGGTCCTGCACAGATTTTAGAGGGCTTAATCAGATAACCATTAAGAACAAATACCCACTACCTTTGATTGATTTTGTTTATGAACAGCTTCAGGATGCCACCATAGTCGCCAAATTAGACTTGCGCAATGCCTATCATTTGGTGAAGATTCAGGAGGGGGACGAATGGAAAACAGCCTTTGAAACTCCGTTAGGACACTTTGAGTACCTTGTCATGCCATTCGGACTAACCAATGCACCCGGCATTTTCCAAGCAATAGTAAATGATGTTTTGAGAGATTTTCTGAATGTAGCTGTATTTGTATATTTGGATAACATTCTAATCTATTCCAAAGATGCCCAGTAGCACACTAAGTATGTAAAGGTGGTTCTATAAAGGCTCTTTGAAAATCAACTGTTCATAAAAGCAGAAAAATGTGAGTTCCACATGTCAACAATCATCTTTTTTTTTTTTCATGTTTGAAAAAGGACAGGTTCGCTCTGATTCTGAAAAGACTAAGGTGGTGGCGGAATGACCTACACCCCAGGACCTCAAACAGCTACAGCGTTTCCTGGGGTTCTCCAACTTATATTGCCGGTTCATCAAAAACAGTCAGGTAGCTACACCACTCACACAACTCACTTCCTCTTTACGAAAGTGTATTTGATCTCCATAAGCAAAGACCGCTTGAGGAACTGAAACAACTCTTTTCATCAGCTCCCATCCTGTTTCATCCGGACACCCATCGACAATTCCTCATGGAAGTAGATGCATCAGACACAGGAGTGGGAGAGGTCCTCTCTCAGAGGTCTCCAGAGGTCAATAAATTACATCCTTATGCATTTTCCCCCGCCAAGAGGAATTGAGATGTGGGCAACCGAGAGCTGCAATCCATTAAGCTATCATTAGAGGAAAGGGGACAATGGTTGGAGAGTGCTGAACTGTGGTTCATCATCTTGACGGACCATAAAAAACAGGCCTATATTCAGGGGGCCAAAAGACTCAATGCTCATTAAGCTAGATGATCACTGTTTTTTGCCCAGTTCAGTTTTTCAATTACTTACATTCATGGTTCCCATAACGTTAAACATGATGCTCACTCTCACCAGTTCTCTTTGTCCGAGGATCCTGATACTCATGAAAGAATCCTTCCTTCTTTATGTACAATGGGAGTAATGACTTGGTTCACAGAAAGCGACATATTGGAGCCCAAAAGAAGCAAACCAGATCCTGGCACCGAACCCCCAGGAAGACTGTTTGTCCCTTCAGCAGTGACAAGTAAGGTCCTTGATTGGATTCACTAAGCCAAATTTTCTTGTCACTCAGGCACAAGATGCATGATGCTCCTCACAAAAAGACATTTTTGATGGCCAAACATGGACAGAGACGTCAAAGAAATTGTGGAAGCATGTTCCACTTGTGCCCAGTGCCCACAACAAGAACAACAATCAACGGTCAGCAGGCTTATTACTTCCTCTACCCTCTCCTGGTCAACCATGGTCCCACATCGCTATTGACTTGATCACTAATCTGCCCCTGTCTGAAGGTAGTTCCATCATTTGCACTATAAATGATTGTTTCTCTAAAGCTGCCCACTTCGTATCTCTGGTAAAACTCCCTTCAGCATTTGAAACTTCTCAAATTATGAAAAACAAACGTGTTTTGAGGTCTCCAATGGTATTTCTCCCCATGATATAGTTTCAGACAGAAGCCCACAGTTCAGCTCACAAGTATGGAAAGCTTTCTGTCAAGCCCTGGGAGCCACTTCCAATCTGACCTCTGGTTACCACCCTCAGTCAAACGGCCAAACCGAGAGATGCAATCAGAAGTTGGAAGCAGCGTTAAGGTGTGTAAATGAAAATAACCCCTCAACATGGAGTCAACATCTGCCTTGGGTAGAGTATGTACTAGGGGTGCACCGATAAATCGGCCGGCCGATCGATCGGCCCCGATTTCCTTAATTTGGGGAGATCGGCGATCGGCCGATCTTTAAATGAGAAGCCGATTTTATCCACCGATCTTATCTGCCTCTGGAAAGGTCTGAAAATCAGCTGCTGTCCCCTTTTGCTCCACTGTGAGAGCTCACACACAGGTCACTCGGAGCAGCCATGTCGTCGGTTTGGAAGTTCTACGCTGTAAAAGAAAATGAGCCAAAGATCGCAATTTGCAATTCGTGTAAAGCCGAAGTAAGTCGTGGTGGAGCCACCACCAAAACCTTTAATACAACAAACCTCGTTCGCCATTTAAGAAATCACCACGCCGCCAAGTATGCAATGTTTGAAGAGAGCAACCAAGCTAAGGCTAATGCTAAAGCTAGCGCTAACAAAGAGGCAGTCGGTGGGTCGCTGTTAGCTTTTATGAGCAGCGAAAAGAGCAAAGCTACCACGAGGAAAGTGATGGAGTTCATGGCATTAGACGACCAGCCATTTTCAGTCGTTGAAGACAAAGGTTTTAGAAGCTTGATGCAGCACGTGTGCCCACGATATAATATGCCGAGTCGGAAATATTTTTCTGATGTTGCATTACCGGAGTTGTTCAGCCAAGTTTCGAGAGACACCCGCAGCCTGCTAAAAGCTAATACAAATACACTCAGCTTTACAACAGACATCTGGACTTCTGATGTAAGTTTAATGTCCATGTTAAGTTTTACTGCACAGTGGATTGACGAACAGTTCGAACGTCATCAAGTACTCTTAAACTGTAAAGAAGAGAGAGGAGAGGCAAGCGAGCACAGACCGTGGCGTGGGTACAGCCAAAGCTACGTTGCTGGAGGCTGTTGTGAGAAGATTCAGCATCATTGATCATGAGCCCCTGTACAGCTTGGCCACTGTTCTGGATCCAAGGCAAGTAACTATTAACATTCTATTTTAGCCATAATTACTTTTAGCCTACTACTATATTTCAACAAACATTTAAATTAAATTAAAAATAAAAATTTCTTGATTGAAATGCATTTCTTTATTTACATGCAAGTCATAAAAACTGTTAATGTATACAAAACACAATGATTAACCCCTCTTTCTTTGTTTATGCAAAACAAGGTACAAGAATCGCTACTTCTCAGCAGAGGTGAAAGATGACGTGAAACTGCTCCTTTTGACCAAACTTGCAGAGGGGGAGACCAGATGCACACCTGCTGCAGGAACATCCTCTGAAGTGGGACCTCCTGATATCGATGAACCTGCAGCCAAAAGGCGTAGTCTACTGTTTGCAGCTCACGACGAAATCTTAAAGGAGAACATTGAACAGGAGCAACAGCTGGCCAGCCCTTCAGCTATGCAGGTACAGAACTACCTATCTGAGGTTCCTGTCGAAAGGAGCCAGGACCCATTGGTCTACTGGAAGATCAATGAAAATCGTTTCCCTCATCTTGCTCTACTTGCCCGAACCCATCTCTCTGCCCCATGCACAAGCGTTGAAAGCGAGCGCCTGTTTAGCTTGGCTGGTCATGTAGTAGATGAGAAAAGAAGTCGCCTGTCTGGTGACAAAGCAGAAATGCTTTTGTTCATCAAGAAAAACCTGCCACTAATGAAAGTGACTGGAATAAGTCTGTGAGAACTAACTTACCTGTGCCAGTGTTAGTTCTTATTACCGACTGACTTGAAAATGTTACACTTGTTGCATTATCTTTTTAAGTTTTTTTTAAAAAATGTAACAAGTGAAAGAGTTGAAGGAACTGAACTTTTTTTTTTTGGTTAATTTTATAGTTTTAACAAAAATTGTGTAAACTTCATTTATATTTCAGAATACTACCTCATGACAAATTAAAACAACAAGTTTGTATTGTTTCTAGGGTATTTTTCAAGGGTATGTTTTACAATAAAATAAGATTGGTAAATTGAAGGTGCATTGTGATCTTGTAACACCTGACACTGTTGCTTATAAAAATAAAAAAAAATCGGTATCGGCCAAAATCGGAATCGGCAGTTCAGACTTTCAAAAAATCGGTGATCGGTGATCGGCCTGAAAATTGAAATCGGTGCACCCCTAGTATGTACACAACTCATAAAAATCTTCAGCAACAGGTCTGTCTCCCTTCAAAGCTCCTCTGGGATATTCCCCACCTCTACTGTATTTCCAATCCAAGAAACTGACATCTGCACTCTCTCTGTTCAGCAGCACCTCCGTCATTGCCGCAAGATCTGGCACCAGACCAAAGCAGCCTTATTAAGGATAGTTGAACAAAATAAAAGATTTGCGGACCGACACCGATCTACTACACCCAAATATCAATTGGGTAACAAGGTATGGCTTTTCACAAAATACATCAAATTAAGACACTCCCAGAAAGATTGCCCCCAGGTTCACTGGTCCTTTCCCCATAACCAAAATCATCAACCCATTGGATGTTTTATTACAATTACCATCCTCTGAGAATCCATCCCACTTTCCACGTTTCCCAAGTCAAGCCAGTCTTGTCAAGCCTTCTGAACCCTCTTACCAACCTTCTCCACCCCCCGTCTGATCAATGACCATTCAGCATACACAGTAAGACGCCTCCTGGATGTAGGAAGCAGAGGCCGTGGCTTCCAATACCTGGTGGATTGGGGAGATTATAGTCCTGAGGAACCCTCAAGGGTTCCTAGATCCTTCATCCTGGACCCCGCTCTTACCTCCACCTTTTATAAGGAACACCCAGAAAAAAGAAAATTGCCTAGAGTTGATTCTTGAGAGTGGGATTTCAAGTTTTTCGACCATAACCACTTTCCCCTACAGCTGACAATCATCCAGTCAACCACACCTGGACCTGATTTCCTAAATAAAACACGTTCTTTTGTATTCTGAGTCCGTATCTCATCAGCCTGCCAAACTTAGGGTCATTAAACAAACAATCGTGTTATCAGGGATGAAAAATAAACACAATTCAACATAATGCAGCACCTAAAGGCAAGAATTAGTTTAAATGTTCTTGATACTAAGCAAATTTTGGACAAAACTAATCTTACCAGTACATGTGCAGCCCTGAACAGATAGCTAAAGGGGTAGTAGAGCAGGTTGATGAAAGAGGCTGCATACAGGTCAGCATAGCGCATAGCTTGAGAAGCAAACAAGGTCTGTCGAGATCCACTGCGAAACAGACTTCCCATCATGCCATAACACATGTCCATGTCATGAGTTACTTTCTGGAGAGGACACAACAGCAAGAAGTATAAACAAGTAAAAAGTTATTCATTTATTTATTTATTCAAGCAAAAATAGGAGACAAAGGATTAATTTAAAACTTTACCTTAATACGCCTCTGCAGAGAGCTGATGTCAGGTCTCTCATTGCTGCTGCTGTCCAGATGCCTGAAGAACAGAAAGTATATAGCTGTAGCAAAAGCTGTTTGAGTTCTGACAATTATTTCTAATTTCTTTAAACATCCACCCATCCATCCATTATCTTTACCCGCTTATTCCATTTTGGGTCACGGGGGTCGCCGGTGCCCATGTCCAGCAATCACTGTGCGAGGGGCGGGGTACACCCTGGACAGGCTGCAAGTCCATCACAGGGACACATACAGTGTCTTGCGAAAGTATTCGCCCCCCTTGAACTTTTCAACCTTTTGCCACATTTTACGCTTTAAACATAAAGATATAAAATTTTAATTTTTTGTGAAGAATCAACAACAAGTGGGACACAATCGTGAAGTGGAATGAAATTTATTGGATGTGTCAAACTTTTTTAACAAATAAATCTGAAAAGTGGGGCGTGAAATATTATTCGGCCCCCTTGCATTAACACTTTGTAGCGCCGCCTTTTGCTGCAATTACAGCTGCAAGTCTCTTGGGGTTTGTCTCTATCAGTTTTGCACATGGAGAGACTGAAATTCTTGCCCATTCTTCTTTGCAAAACAGCTCGAGCTCAGTGAGGTTGGATGGAGAGCGTTGTGAACAGCAGTCTTCAGCTCTTTCCACAGATTCTCGATTGGATTCAGGTCTGGACTTTGACTTGGCCATTCCAACACCTGGATACATTTATTTGTGAACCATTCCATTTTAGATTTGGCTTTAAGTTTTGGATCATTGTCTTGTTGGAAGATAAATCTCCGTCCCAGTCTCAGGTCTCTTGCAGACTCAAACAGGTTTTCTTCCAGTATGGTCCTGTATTTGGCCCCATCCATCTTCCCATCAATTCTGACCATTTTCCCTGTCCCTGCTGACAAAAAGCAGGCCCAAACCATGATGCTCCCACCACCATGTTTGACAGTGGGATGATGTGTTCAGGGTGATGAGCTGTGTTGCTTTTACGCCAAACATATTGTTTTGCATTGTGGCCATACAGTTCAATTTTGGTTTCATCTGACCAGAGCACCTTCTTCCACATGTTTGGTGTGTCTCCCAGGTGCTTGTAGCAAACTTTAAACAACACTTTTTATGGATATCTTTGAGAAATGGCTTTCTTCTTGCCACTCTTCCATAATTGCCAGATTTGTGCAGTGTACGACTGATTGTTGTCCTATGGACAGACTCTCCCACCTCAGCTGTAGATCTCTGCAGTTCATCCAGCGTGATCATGGGCCTCTTGGCTGCATCTCTGATCAGTCTTCTCCTTGTTCGAGATGAAAGTTTAGAGGGACGGCCGGGTCTTGGTAGATTTGCAGTGGTCTGATACTCCTTCCATTTCAATATGATTGCTTGCACAGTGCTCCTTGGGATGTTTAAAGCTTCGGAAATCTTTTTGTATCCAAATCCGGCTTTAAACTTCTCCACAACAGTATCTCGGACCTGCCTGGTGTGTTCCTTGGTCTTCATGATGCTCTCTGAGCTTTGAACAGAACCCTGAGACTATCACAGAGCAGGTGCATTTATACAGAGACTTGATTACACACAGGTGGATTATTTATCATCATCAGTCATTTGGGACAACATTGGATCATTCATAGATCCTCACTGAACTTCTGGAGTGAGTTTGCTGCACTGAAAGTAAAGGGGCCGAATAATATTGCATGCCCCACTTTTCAGTTTTTTATTTGTTAAAAAAGTTTGACACATCTAATAAATTTTATTCCACTTCACGATTGTGTCCCACTTGTTGTTGATTCTTCACAAAAATTTTTTTTTTATATCTTTATGTTTGAAGCCTGAAATGTGGCAAAAGGTTGAAAAGTTCAAGGGGGCCGAATACTTTCGCAAGGCACTGTAGAGACAAACAACCATTCACTCTCTCACTCACACCTAGAGACAATTTAGAGTTACCAGTCAATCTAACATGCATGTTTTTGGTCTGTGGGAGGAAACCGGAGTAGCCGGAGAAAACCCACGCATGCACGGAGAGAACATGCAAACTCCACCCAGAAAGGCCCCTGGACTGGGATTTGAACCAGGGACCTGCTCACTGAGAGGCAGCAGCTCTACCAGTTGCACCACCGTGCTGCCCTTCTTTAAACATATTTTTAATAATAAGGGAATAAAGTTTATTTTCTCACTTCAGAGTATTCATAAATTACTTTAATGACTATAAGTTTAGCTTCTTAACATTTGAATTTGTTTTCTTAAGGTTTTAACTATTTTTGAATGGTTCACATTTAATTGGATTTATTTTCTTCACGTTAAGAAACAATAATCTCTTTAATATGAATAAAACTTATTTTTCACAAATGTATTACACATTACTAGCTGCTGTTAAAAAAGGATTAACTCACTTGTACAGCTCTGCAAGAAAGCATTCCAGTGACTGAAGTTCCTCAAAAATGGCTACAAAAAAGCAACAACATACATTAGTAAATCAGCTTTTTGTGCCAACTAACAGTTTGGAGAAATATAAGGACAAAAGCACATTTCCAGTACCAGTTAACATTTGGAAACACTTATAAAGTTATTAAAAAACTGAGGCATCTATGCAGTAGTCAGTTTAGCTAATTATGTTCTGTATGAGTGAATCAGTCTGGCCCATGACTAACTGTGTTGCTTCAGCTAATTGAGATTTGTAAGGATTAATTTATGTACCACACTTTAAGGTCCCACAGTATTTCAGACAGGTTGAGGTCTGAACTTCCCTTTTTGCCTCAATAAGTTTACCTGCATGTGTTTGAAAAGGGAAAAAGTGCTAAATGTAAACAGAGTGAATGTATAAAAGAGAAACACTGTATGGGTGTTTGTGTAAATAAGAAACACTGTAAATTGCTGTGTAAGTGTGACCCACTCATCATTTGCATTTACTAAAAACCTGGTATAGAGCCCATACAGTGACAGTTTCAAGACTGTTGATTCTGTCCTAATGGATGTCAGTTTGCCATACAGCAATATGCATTTAGCATAGAATTAGTACAAACAGTTTTTATTAACATTATTCTCAGACAAGACAGTGAGACCATCACACCACACAACAGACTGGACTCTGAAGTTTGAGCCTGGCCTATGAGTCACTGACATCCTCTCATACCAAACCTCCAAGCGCAGCTTGATGTTAAACCTCATCAGCCATCAGTGCTAACAGAACCAATCTGTTCAAACCTCGCTAAATGAATTAATTAGTATTAGTGACATACCTACTGAAACTAGTTTAGTTTATTTTTCTTTGAAAACAATATGTTTCATGATGATCTGTGCCACGAAACCAATATTTTGCAGATTTTGGGGGAACCTTTCCCACTTTTAACAGGAATCAGTCAACATTAAAGACACTCTCGTTCAACATGAGGAATAAATTTATATCAGGTGATTCTGACGTAAGAAGCTGAAGCTCTATAGAAGGGACCATTTAAATGGGGTTCTAATAGTTTATAGTCATGACCAGGGCTTAACTTGTAAACCGATTGATGCTGGTACGCAAATAGCAGACGGGTCAGCAGGGTCTGTGGGTCCTCCCCCAGAAAATTTTGAATAAAGTAGATGTGATTTCCTGCATTCTGGTGTATTTTAACGAGTTGTTAAACATCTACATTTACCTACATTTGTAAACACTTGATTAAATTACTATTCTAGAGCAACAACAACAGCTCTCTCCTCGTGTGTGAATAGAGCAGCTCCACTTCTGTCAAGCATCCTAACGCCCCCCCCCCCCCCACACACACACACACACACACACACACACACTCCCCACACTTCATGGTTCTGAGCCCAAACTCTTCTTCACTGAATTTAGTCCTGCATGTTGTTGCTCCTGCTCCAGTCTTGATTGCCACTGACTTCAGGTGCTTCAATTCTCAGTTGTCCAACTAAGGACAATCCATTTATCTATTCATTTTGTAATTGAAAGTAAATTGGACTGTCTTTTCAGAAATTTTGATTGCTGTTATTTTGACAAATTAGCACTGTTGTTTTATTATATGTGATGTGAATAATACACATCAAACATTTTTCTCGTTGTATTTTTAATAAATAATCAAAATTTTATTAATAACCCACTTAAACAGTCAAACTGATTTGCAATTTAGTTGTGCTGTTTTAATTTTACTTTTGAGTTTTTAAATAAAAATGCGCAATGACTTTGGACTTTTAGGAGCGGAGATTTGAGTTACTGGATCCAAGCAAACAGTTACTGGAACACACCCTGTCAAAATATGAGAGTTCCCGGGTCTCGTGCCGACAGGATCCGGCACATATTAAGCCCTGGTCCTGACTGTACGTATTTAAATAACATTTTACTGGTGCTGTGTGTACGTGTTGGTGAAGGCCATCTCACAGCTCTTGTCAGTCCAGACATGCAGCTCCTGGGCCAGTTCAGGTATGACCAGGAAAGTCCTCCAGCCCTGACGCTTCTTAGATTTTAGAATGTCACCAAAAATGTGGTCGCCAATGTAGATGATGTCTTTTCCTTTAGCACCCAGCAAGTCACAGACAATGTCTGAGGAACCTGGACCAGTAACAATAAAAAAAAAAAAATAATAATAATTTAAAGATTTTATTTGAACTATTCACTTTTTAAAAAAGAAGAGATGTAGGTCTTGTATGACATTTCTCTGGGCACAAAGAAAAAATAAGTTTATTAGTTACCTCCAGAGTAAACAATACCATGCTGGAGAGGTCCAGTGTACGTGCCAATCTTCAGCCGGCCTGTTGTCTAAAAGTAACAGACATAATCAGAATGGTATACAAGCCATTTTTGTGTTATTATTAGACATTTCTACAGTATTTTCCCATAATTTTCTTTTCCCAGATGTTCCCAAAACAATCAGTAGAGTTTTGTCTGTTTCATTTATGTAGAGATCTAAAACATTAGATCTTTCGGGGTAATGTTTATATTGGAATGGTCTGTTTTTACAAAATGTGAGTGAATCAACTCTGTGGGTTCAAGTGTATAAAAAGACAAGCCTTTAAAGGTGGCAAATGGCCAAACAAACTTCTTGCCAGTTTTGGTAAAGTTTATTATTTTCTCTCTCCAGACAAATACATAAATGTTAAATCACATTCCAAATGCAAATCAGAAATTGGTAGCAGAAGCTACCACAACTTAGAAAACACGAAAATTATGAAAATATTTGTTCTGTTTCCATACAACAAACTTTTTCAAGATGGCTACAAACTGAAAAGGATCATTTCTGCATTTAAACTAGGAGGACTATAAAGTTCATTATATAATCATCAACAAATGTTTCAAAGCCACAAAACATTCTAGGCATGTTTGGAATTTTTCTCACGTATAAATATCACAATTTCTGTGACCCAAAAAATAAATTTCTAAATAATTGTTAAGTTCTGTTTAGCACACACTTACAGTGTCAACTTGCCGCAGTACCGTTCCCTCTCCAAAAAACACAGGCTTGCGAGCATCCACAAGAATCAGGTCAAAGTAAGACTGCCAGGGTCGATGGGGTGTGCCCAGCTGCAGGTTGTGCACACAGACTATCATTACTTAACTTTACAAATACAGTATAGTATAACCATAAAATACTACCTGTTGAGTATTTGGCATTACTCAGTCATACTTAATTTGTTAAATTTCAATCTATGCAGGTTACTGACAAGCTTGATTAAGATTTCAGTCTTACCTTTGGACCATGAGGAAAGTCAAACAGGTAAGTCATTATTTTCTGCAAAAACACAGGGAGATCATTTTATGAACCAAAAGAAATGTACATACACAAAATATAAATGTCAATCCACCAACAGACAGATAGAAACACACACATTAAAGGTAGGTACTGGTTTGCTGTGAGGAGTTTGAAAAAGTTTAATGGTACCTCAGTGTATTTATAATCACTGTTTGTGGCCATAAAAACTTTGCTAACTTCATTCATGCGACTGAGGAGAAGAGGGAGCTTTGCCTTGACGAGAGAAACAACAGTCAATAAAACAGAAAAATGAAAACACAAGCCAACAGTAGAGTAAAATATATTGGTTCATGACTGCATAATGATTTATAACATCACCTCAAATATAAAGTCAAAGTCTGATTATGTAGCTTTACTTATGTAACAGTAGAGCCCAATATTCTGCTTCACTTACATCTTTAACCACATACTTTTCCAGGTTTTCCACTGTCTTTTCCTTTAAGGAACCCTGTGAAAACACAATGAAAAGAGGCTGAAGGATGTGAAATAAATGAAAATTAAAGCAGCTGTATTCAAAACAGTGTTGTTGTTTTTTCTACCTTGAAGTGAACCCAGTCCACAGCATCTCGCACATCTTGGAACATGCTCTTGTATGACATGAAAAGGTCACCATTTTTGAAGCCGGTCTCACAACTACATACGGTAGATAAAATAATTATAACATTAGTGACATCAGCAAGCTGATATTGAAAAAAGACTCACTTTTATCCACAAAATGTTTTTGCCACCAAATGAAAAGGTGCGTTAGACAAGTTCCTAAAAAGCTAATGCAAGGTTGAACAAAATTATTAGCTCATAAGTAGATAGGTCCATGCAGTCATGGGGAAGAAGTTCATCTTTTTCACTTCTAGAGTATTACATATCAGCACATACAGCACATACTGTACATGTTAGGCTGAATGGTAACTCTGAATTATCCCTAGGTGAAAGAGAGAGAGAGAGAGAGAGAGAGAGAGAGAGAGAGAGAGAGAGAGAGAGAGAGAGAGAGAGAGAGAGAGAGAGAGAGAGAGAGAGAGAGAGAGAGTGAGTGAATGGTTGTTTGTCTCGTTTGTCTCTATGTGTCCCTGTGATGGACTATAGACCTATCCAGGGTGTCCCCCGCCTCTTGCACAGTGCCTGCTGGACATGGACACTAGTGACCCAGAAAAGAAGAAGTGGATAAAGAAAATAGATGGATGGATATAACAAAATATTCTGGTCTTTACTAGAGTCTATTTTATAAAAATATAACCTTATGAACAAAACCGCACAACAAATTCAAATATGTCCCTTTTTAAGTAAAAAATGGTGTAGGGGTGCACTGATTGCAGTTTTCTGGCCGAGCACGATCTCTAAAAAGTCTGACCTGCTGAGACAATTTTACAACATTATTTTACTGAAAAACATACCCTTGAACAATATCCTAGAAACAATACAAACTTGTTTTAACTGGCCATGAGGTAGTGCTCTGAAATATAAATTAAGTTTAGACAATTGTTAAAACTACAAAAAATCTGTAAAATCGGTTTCTCGTGCAAGTATCGGCCGATCACCGACCACCCAAAATTAAGGAAATCGGGGCCGATTTATCGATGCACCCCTAAAAAGGTGTATGAAAAACTAAATCCTTCCTTGTTTCTTCCAAAGGATTTGAGTAAAGTATAGACCAGGTGCTGCTGACATATTAACCTCATCAGTGTGAGCACCCCTATAAAGGCAGGAGTTTTGGCAGCTTGTTGCTCTGGAGCATACAGATGTGTGTTAACACAATGTCAAAGAGAGAATCATGGTCTCAGAGAAGCAACTGTTGCTGTCCATCATTCTAGAAAGGGTTAAAGGTTGTTTCCAAACCATTAGGAGTCCATCATTCTAACAATGTCCTTTGGACAGATGAGACAAAAATAATGTTTTGCATGTCACAGTGTTTGGAGAAAACCAGACACAGCAAATCAGCACAAACCCCTCAAACACACTGTAGGGCACAGTGGTGGAGGGGTGATGATTTGGGCTTGTTTTAGAGCCACAGGACCTGTGCACCCTTCAGTCACTGAGGTAATCACAAACTCCTCTGTAGACCAAAGTATTGTAGAGCAAAATGTGAGGCCATCTGTTCCTCAGCTAACAATTGGCTGAAAATGAATTATCCAACAGTACAATCCAAAATACAGCAGCAAATCTAAAACAGAATGCTTAAAATAGAAAAGAGTTGGTCCAAAGTTCACACCTCAACCTGATTGAAATGATTTGGTGGAACCTAGAAAAATGTGTAAAAAGGTGCAGGTCGAAACCGCTCCACAACAATGCAAAAGACCAAAAAAGTATAAAAATGACTAGTTCAAAGTACTGCTGCTAAAAGTGGGTCTACACGCTTCTGAATCATTGGTGGACTTAGTTTTCACACACAGCTTTCTGTGTTAGATTAATTTATTTATTTAATAAAAGAAATGGCATGGTGAAATCTGTTGTTTGTTTTAAGTCACTTGACGTTCGATTATAAACAGACCGTGTTCATTTTATCCTCAACCTTTAAGGCCCCTACATACTCGGGAGTACTGTGTGTACTCCGTGCCGCGCGGACTCCGTGCGTACTGTCCCCAGACGGTTGAGACTTCATACTCGAGCGCACACCCTGATGGGCTGCAGCCCAGCCCTGCAAATAAGGGGCGTTTACCTTTGGGACAAATTGAGGTTGCCGATTGGTCATTTGCTGACACGCCTACTTGATTGATTGACAGGTCGCGTTGCGGATCCGACTCGTGACAAAAAAAACGAGAGCTGCTGGCAGCCCTGGGTAGAGGCAGGGAGGCTCAGGAGCAGTGGCAGTGGTGTTCTGTGTTTATATGCTGTTAATAAATAAAGTGCTATGTGTTGTCATCATTGGACGTTTCCATACGGTGAAATTAGTTCTCTGCATTTAACCCATCACACTAAGATGCACCCAGGTGGAGCAGTGGGCAGCTATGTAGGCACCCGGGAAGAAATTGGGGATTGGGTGTCTTGCTCAGAGACACCACGATATGTGGGGCTATTAGGTCCCGAGTTGGCTGCCCAGCCTCTACCCCACCTCGGCCCCTATTCTCTCATGACAAATTCTTTAATTTCTCACAATGTCAGTCATGGCGTCAACGGACGAGGAGGAAGAGATCACTTGCCTCTTGGAAAAAAAGCAAAAGAAAAGGCCATTAAACCAGACCAGGGATGTAGAAGGGGAATTTAATACACTGGTGAAAGACATGAAGATGATGGACAGCGAGAAACCTTTTGAATATTTTCAAATGGATTCTAGCAAGTTTGATGAGCTAGTTGGGCGCTTAGCCCTGTTTCTTCACCACCAGGGCAGCCACCGCACACCTGTCAATGCTGCACAGAGAGCGGCAGTCGCACTGTGCATCCTTGCGACTGCACAGAGTGGTTGGTGTCGAGTCCACATTGAGTCCGCCTTGAGTATGTACGGACCTCAGCAGAGTGAAGTACGCCTAAGTATGTGAGGGCCTTTAGTACTCTAAGATGGAAAGGAAAGCAGGTGGACTTTTGTCCATGACTATAATTAGAACAATGACACTTCATGAGAGACTAAGTTAATATGTTAGGTAATAATAAATATGATGTACCTTGAGTATCTGGAACAGTTACTGAAGAAATCCACCAGGCAAGCATAAAGATAGGTTTCTATGGGAATGCAAACAACATAATAATAGTAATGAAAACATGAATGGGTCTAGATTGCAGCATCAGATCAACAATAAAAACCCAAATTACATGAGCATCCTTATCTGCAAACTCTAGTTTATCATGGCAGGCTTGTGGATAGGTCAACTGGCATTTGACAAATGAATCTTTTCTTTGTCCTATTTTCTTTCCCATTCCTGCCATTATTCACACAGTTACTGGGAGAAAAGTCACAAGCTGCCAGGAAAGAAGAACCAGCTGCGTACAAGCTCATTTTGCCTGGGTCAAGAATTCAAGCTGATGCCAGTGTTTGTGTAAAAAAGTTCATACCTGTCTGTGTGACCCAGTCAGTCAGAGTTAGCAGACCTGACCATTATTTTGTCGTCTGTTTTTTGTTACTCTTTTCCTACATAGAATTAGTGAGTTTGAGAAGGTGCTGGCAGGTGGAGATTTGGAAAAACCAGATCAGAAAGTTCCTATCCCTAAATGTAGAGTAAGTTGCAAACTGATACTTGAGTAATTCAAAGCTTTTTTTGAGGTAGAAACATTAACATGTGCAATACTGACGAACAAGAACAAAATGACTATTTTTACCTATTTACAACTGTAGTTTTTATCTCTTGCACAACTACTGTGAAAATGTAGGAAAAAATTGTTAAACCAAATCTTTGATTTTAAAGATCTAAGAACCCAACTATGTGTTTATGTCTCACAGTGGGATCCTCATTCTGTTTGGTAACCACAGCTGTACAACATATTCTGTGTCCAACTTGAATTAGACAGTGAAACTTTTTGTGTGAATAGTTTTACTCACCAGGTAAGTTGAAGAGTGTATTTAGGATGTAGAAGCGTTCTGTGTCTCCACGTTGAATAAATTTGTTAGGGTACATCTCTCTGATCTCAGGTCTGTTTATGAATAACAATAATAAGACAAATTTAAATTCTATTGTTTTATATTTTTGCATCATAAAGTTAGCTTCTGCTGTTGTGATGATTTACATTGCATTGTTTCTCTCTTTGGTAAAAATTAGGCTGCAACACAATTAACAAATCACGAGTTATAAGACTGGATAATAACTAAGAAAAAAAAAATAACTGTGCTGTGTAGCTTTTTTTTAAGCCAATATACATTTTGAACAGGAGCTTAGCAAAGATGTGTAAATCTTGCCACTCTTGATTCACATTCTTGCATGGATTTTTTGTGAAACTGCTGCTGCAAGAAAAGTTACAAAGTTATTTAGAAATTTTACATTCAGACTGTTTAATACTTTTTATTTAAAGTAACCCATGTTTGTTGTTTACAATACAAATGCATATACATCCTTTTTGCATATCAATAATAACATGAACAATTATCAGTGGTAGTTGAATGCAAGCAGGAGTCAAAGAACTCAGGTAAAAATAACTATTTTATTAAAGGAATTAAAAAAAAGTGCTGATGAGGCAGCAAACGCTATACTGTTTTAAATCAGACTGACCCTCTGAAACGCTCTGCTGATTTTCACCAGTTTGAGCCTGTCTTTTTCAGTTTTAATGTAAATAGTTTGGAAACTACATTGTTCAAACATTGACATAGCGCTAAGCCAGCGGTGCGCGATCGAGACGCGCTAGCTAAGATGCTACGGAAGTAGCGCTCTGCTTCTCTTACGCGTGAAAATTGAAACAAACACTGGTAGCACGGAGGAGACACTAGGAAGATGAAGACAGTATAACTAGTATACATGATGCTCCACTGAGGGAGACATAGAAGAAGCTGGATTATAAAGATAACTCTGGTGAGCTACAAACACCTGAAGATGAGACAACTTGGAAAGGTGAAATTGTGTGATTGTGTGTGTGTGTGTGTGTGGGTGTGGGGGGGGGGGGGGTCAGGAGCAAGGGTGAAAGAAAAATATGGAGTAAACTGACTAACAAGTATCAGTAAGTAAATCAACCATGAATTAAAAAAAGATAGCCTTCAATACTTAAAACACAAATTATTACAAATAAACAACAAACGTACAAATTCTGACCATCAGTTTGGTCCAGGACAAAATGCATTAACAGCTGTTAGACTGGATCTCAACTACAGAAAGTCATAGCTCCCAGTCTAAGCTCCCTGACTTCTGCTTATACACATCAAGTAAAATGTATTTTCGCTCTAAGTGAAGTGTAATAAAACAAAAGAACTTGAAGTGCATTTCCATTAATGTTTCATGAATAATAATAATAATAATAGTTGTCATTCTCTAATTTTGCTTTCCTAAATAGCAAGTTAAAATCCAAATGTGGACAATTTAGTTTGTGTTTCTCTCATCTGTTTTAGCTGCACTTGGTATATTCTTGATAGCTGGATGATGTTTTGTTTGTAAAAAGATGCTCTGGAAGATACCAGACTTCTGTACTGCATAGCAGGGTTGTGTGAACCTCACCCCCTCAAGAAATTGAACCCGTGGACACACACAAGAATGTTTCCATAGGCATCCACTTTGAGCAGGTTCCCGTACGTTGTGTCAAACACCAGACCCCTGGAAAAAATGAGCATGGATTAGTCAAGATGGTAACACAAGCACAGAATCACTTCTATTTTGTGAGCTTTAGAAAATTTAAAAATGGTGTCAAACAAAATTGCTGGGGCTACTTTTGCTTCAGAGGAAAGTACAAGTTTTGGTTTACATTTGCTAAAATATGACCACAACTTGTTGCTGAAGATGAGAATGAATGAATGAAAATCCTTTCAAATCACCACTGGACAAAAAACAATTTGGTATCAACTTGTATTTTGATGCATATGAAATAAAAATACATCTTTAATTATAACTGCAAACAGAGTTGGTTTTCAAAAGTAGAACATTAAGAAGTTACCTGGTGGGGAAGGAGGGATCATAAACAAAGTTCAGCAACTCTTGTGGATATCCAATGGACACCAGACGCTCCACTGTCAGGTCAAAGCCCAATGACTCATACTCAGGAGATTTATACACTATGCAGAAAAGGAGACACCAAACAGCACTTTAATGGTAAATGGACTGTACTTGTACAGCTCCTTTCCATCTGATCAAGACACTCAAAGCTCTTTACAACAATCTGTGCCTCGTTTACCCATTCATGCAGCACTCTACTAGATCTATACAAAGAATAATCAGTTCTTTAGATCGCATCCACACACCGATGGGACACACATGGGAGGCAATGAGGGATTCAGTGTCTTGCTCAGGGACCCTTCAACATTTAACTGCTGGTGGAATCGAACCCCCAGCTCTTGCATTGGAGGACGACTGATCTAACCACCCCTTTAATGAAAATAGTTGTAAAAAAAAAAGATGTGTTTCAACAAAACAGATGTGTAGTTTGTAGCATCATTAAAACAACAAAACATTCAAACAAGTAGGCATCTCTAACAATGAAACAATTAATTTGTAATTTATGCCAGAGTTGACATAACATTACTTAACTAAAGCTATCAAGCTAAATCAGCTTTCATCAAATAATCTTCCATGTATTTTGAAAGATCCAATTATAAATAAATGAAACAACAACAATAATAATAATAATAATAAAACAATGCAGTACAAAATCACAAAATAAAAGCACAGATTAAAACTAAAATAAAATGAAGGTAAATTGCCAGGAAATTAAAGTGAGAAGGCTAACTTAAACTGATGAGTTGTTGTGAATCCTGTTGTGATTTGAAGGAAAGAAGAGAGTCAATTTTGCAATATTGCAGATGTCTGGAGGAAGAGAGCTCCCGAATTGAGCGGGGTGGAAACGCTGGCAAAGGGGATTGTAAGGTGGATCGAACAGGAAGAACAGAGAGAGCAGGAAGGGTGACGATGTGCAGGAGATCGGACAGACAAGGAGGGGTGAGTTTGTGGATGGCCTTGAATGTGTACAGCTGGATTTTAAATAGAACTCTGAATATAACAGAAAGCAGTGGAGGTGAAATGAGGGTGTTTTTGTAATGATGCAGGCAGCTGAATTTTAAATCACGTGAAATAACGACGTTAGTATGAATTTAAGTGTAAATGGATACAGTCAACTTTTGCACTTAAGAGAAACCTGTTTACCTTAACGCCTCACATGGAGGTGTTGAAACTGTAATTAACAGCTGACACTGGCACATTGTTGAGGTTTTTTTTTTTTTACATGAGTAACTGTTTAGGTCAAAACTCCTACAGATCGAAGGAAGCTGGATTTATTGAGAAAAGTCCTGTCAGATATGAGGCCTGTAGAGCACTGACAATACAAAAAATATACTATTGAAATAATTCAATTCAAATAAACAAAACAAAAAAAAATCATATGGGAATAAAAGATCAAGTAAGAGTAAAAACGTAGAAAAGATTGATAACGTATCCTATTTCAATTTATTTATTTATGTATTTTTCCCAAATCTAAAAGTATGAAACTTTGTCTTCTCTTTTAGTTCATCATGGATGACAGCAAATCATTGTAAATCACTAACTTACCAGCAAGAGTATAATCCATGTCAAATCCAAAGCACTTAATTTTCTCCATGGCCAGGCTTCGATTGACAAACACTCTAAAAGAAGAAAAACACATAAAAATCAATGCACAACAACAGGTAAAATAAAAATCCATTGATCCCTAACAGCACCCTTCTAACTAAGGGTGAAGCGTGAAATGAACAACATGCTACAACTTCCTTTTAGGAATTGATCAAGTAAAATTGAAATAGCTGGCATATCATGTTGAGTAAAACAACTATTTAATCTCCAAAGCAAAGCCAGTCACCAGGTTTGCATACATCTCAGGAAGAAATGTGGTCCACTCCTCTTTTCAGAATCTCTTGAAGTCCTTTAGGTCTTTTGCCTGGTATTCTCAACTCTTGGCTTCATCTCCCTCAACAGATTTTCCACAGGATTAGCATCTGTAGACTGGGTAGGCCACTCCATAACCTTGATGTGCTTCTTCTTTAAGGCTGATTTATACTTCATCAGAAGTGCCAAAGTTGTTCCTTGCTGATGTGGTTCCATGATGAAAATGGTGTGTTTTTGATTTCACACCACCTCCAAGAACGACTTTTGTTGTGCACAACCCCTGGTCAAAAGTATCATCTTGCAGGTATTGCATGATTGGACATAACTTCATGGGTGTGTTTATTGGAAAAAGTGACTGAACTAAACTGCTCCCGTTTCTTTCAACTGCTCTGCTCAGCTACAGGTGTCTGAGACTATTACAAATGCAGACGGTTTTGTTCCAGCAAAACTTTGAAAGATAGTTGAATAAAACTTGTAAAGAGAGTCAAGGGGCAGCGTGGTGGCACAGCTGGTAGAGCTGCTGCCTCTCAGCGAGCAGGTCCCTGGTTCAAATCCCGGTCCGGGTGCCTTTCTGGGTGGAGTTTGCATGTTCTCTCCGTGCATGCGTGGGTTTTCTCCGGGTACTCCAGTTTCCTCCCACAGACCAAAAACATGCATGTTAGACTGATTGGTAACTCTAAATTGTCCCTAGGTGTGAGTGAGAGTGAATGGTTGTTTGTCTCTATGTGTCCCTGTGATGGACTGGAGACATGTCCAGGGTGTACCCTGCCCCTCACACCGTGATTGCTGGACATGGGCCCCCGTGACCCAAAATGGAAGAAGCGGGTAAAAGATAATGGATGGATGGATGGAAGAGAGACAAGGAACTTTTGGAAGATTGCACAACTTTTGTGCACAAAGCAGACAGCACAGAGACAGACGTAGTAGTTGTACTAACTGGGAGGGGGAACACCACGGCTGGGCAGCACAGGGACACATTCACGCAGTCTGTCGGAAACGGTGTTCTCCTCAGAACAAATATAAAAATAGCACTTCTTCTTGGTTATTAACAGAAATACCAGATCTTCCTCCTCTAATTTCTTTATCATCAACCAAGTTAAAGCTCCACTCTGCCAAATGTGCTGTTGCTGTGTTGTTTTAGTTTGCACATGAAGTGTGCTGCGGTGGGAGGGCTTACGTCTTGCCCACAATTTCTATGAATATAAATGTATATAAAATGTCCATGTGAAAGAGAACATCTAACAACCACATCAGCGAGATCAGATGTCGTACTTCTTGCGACGTATAAACCAGCCTTTAGCTACTCTTTTGTTCCCCATGGTACGTTTTGGGTCATTGACATGCTGGACTGACCCATTCACAACCCATTTTCAGTGTTCTGCCTGAGGGAAGAATGTTCTCATTTAAGATTTTATGGCACATGGTCTTGTCCATTGTCCCATTAATGTGGTAAAACTGTTTTATACCCCTAGATAAAAAAACAGCCCTAAACATAATGTTTCCACCTACTGTACATGCATCATCGTGGTAATGGTGTCCTTTGTATCACACTTGGTTTTTCTCTTCCTACAATTATAGCAGGTGGCAATGATGTCAAATACCTCCATTTTTCTGACCACAGGAGTTTCTACTAATCTTTTCATTGAATCAAAGACGTTGAGATGTTTTCTGGCAAATCTAAGCCTGGACATGTGCCTTCTGGAGCACAGGAATCTTTCAGTGGCTTCAAGATACAACTCATTAGACTTACCAATGGTGTTCATGGTGCCCAAACTACCTTCAGATCTTTAACAAGCTCCTTCTGTGTAGTTGCGGGCTGATCTCACATCTTTTTCATCATCATCCTCACCCATGAGACAAGATAGTGCATGGAATGACAGATGACTGAAGGTCATTTTTCATTTCATTTCATACAAAACCAACAACTGTCACATTGTTGATGGTCCATTGAAGGCCCATTCCAGGCCAAATCATAAACTCATTTTCCTGAAATTAAATGCCTCGGAACAATAATAGATAAAAAGTTGACCCTTCAGTCCAACACTGATTGTATTTACAAAAAAGCTAGACAGCGTCTCCACCTTCTATATAAGCTAAGGAATGCTAATGTTAGCAAAAATACCTTGCAATAGGTGTACAGTCACTGGTGGAAAGTGTTATTGCCTTTAATATTGTCTCATGTATGGGAACTTCCTAGCCGGAGACTGGAACAAGTTGTCCCGGGTGGTCAGACTAGGTAGTAAAATCATTGGTCATCAACAAATACAACCTACAGACTTATACAGTCATGCTCTATAAAAAAAAAGGCAATCCAGGTTTACAATGACCCAACTCATCCACTGCAACCATTATTCAGGTTGGTACCATCTACTAGAAGACTGCTGGTTCCTCTGGTAAAAAAAAATGGGTACAAAAAGTCATTTGTTCCCTCTGCTGTGAGTGTCTTTAATAGGGTTCTATTTAAACGTAGCCTCACATGACAAACCGTTGTCTGCTGGGATGTTTGTATGATTTTCATGTATCATGTATTTTAGAATTGGTTTTATTGGGTAAGCAAAGCTTTTTAAAGTTTTGTGGCATTTTAAAAATGCCAAGTCAATGTGTACATTTAAGAAAAAGATCAAAGCTGAATTGTTAAAAATGTATATATGAAGTAGCTTAGTGTGTTTTTGTATTAGAATTAGAAAAAATTAGAAAGAGTTATTCATTTTGTTCTGTTACTTGAAGATTATTATGATTGAACTAATTGTTTGAAAAAAGGGGCAGATGCAATAAGATTTTTTCTTCTTTCTGCTGCCTTTCATTTTAAATCTCTTGTATTTTTTATATAGTTATGAAACTGTTTTGTATTTTTAAAATGAATAAACTTTATACCATACCATTTTAAACTTGTGTTGTTTTGTATGTATGAGCCAGGTGTTAAAGATAAATCTCCATCCCATGAAATGTTATGGACATCCATCCATCCATCCATCCATCCATTTTCTTTACCCGCTTATTCCATTTTGGGTCACGGGGGTCGCTGGTGCCCATGTCCAGCAATCACTGTGCGAGGGGCGGGGTACACCCTGGACGGGTCGCAAGTCCATCACAGGGACACATAGAGACAAACGAGACAAACAACCATTCACTCTCTCACTCACACCTAGGGACAATTTAGAGTTACCAATCAGCCTAACATGCATGTTTTTGGTCTGTGGGAGGAAACCGGAGTACCCGGAGAAAACCCACGTATGCACGGAGAGAACATGCAAACTCCACCCAGAAGGCCCCTGGACCGGGGTTTGAACCAGGGACCTGTTCGCTGAGAGGCAGCAGCTCTACCAGTTGCGCCACTGTGCTGCCCATGTTATGGACAATAAAGTTATATTGATTAATTGATTGATTGAAATATAATACCTTGTCTCTGACACCCTTTGACGGCTCTGTGGTCTTGCCTGTGGTGACAGAGAAGGTGGATTGGAAGGAACTGTTTCTTTTGAGTGGTGTGTTTTATCTTCATGATGATAAGGATCATCTAAGATTGATTTGACTTTACTGATTGTGTGAGAATCTGTCTGTACTCTGTTCATTCTTGAGATTCTTGTGTGCTTCCTGCCTTCCCCATGTAAGGATGTTAGTTTTCTGTGGCCCGGTGTGTCTGTTTCCCTCGTGCTCCTCATTAGTTTCCATTGTTGCCACCTGTGTCTCGTCCCAGCTGTTTGCTATCATGTCTCGTCTTCTCCTTGTATTTAAGTCACCCTATTCTGTCTTGTCCTTTGTCGGGTCGTCTTCGTTGGGTACACTTCCTTGAGTCTCCTGAGTCTCTCTTTGTCTTCCTGGTTCCTCGAGTTCCCCGTGTCTCCTGAGTTCCCCGTGCCTCCCTCCTTGTTTATGTAAGTTTTGCTGCCCCGTCAGCTTGTTTATTTTGTACTTTTCATTTATCATTAAAACCTATTTTTGTATATCTGCCGAGTTGAGTCCCTGTTCTGCACTCTGGGTTCGCTCCGACCACAAATCCTAACACCCCAGTGATTTTTCCTTCATGTTCCAGCTCCTTGCTTCACCTGCTCCCAATCCCAGTCACCTCAGGAGTTGTCATTTTGTCTTGTTAGAGTCCCTTTAAGTTCTGCGTCTTTGTGTTTCCTTGTCGTCTGTGCATTGTGCTTCCCACAGCTGTTCATGCTCTGTTCCTCATGTCTCCTCGTGATCTTTCTTCTTGTAAGTTTTGCTTTATTTTATTTTATTGATACTGTGTCTTTCTCCATTAAAATTAAACTGTTATAAAAAGGAGAGACCCATCACTTTTTTTATAAGCAGGCAAACTAACAAAATCAACAAATAAAATTGTCTTAAAATGTGATAATTAATTTGAGACATTTTACAGTTTAAGGAACAGAACATTTTCCTGATTTTATTATTTTTTTTTTTTACAATTTAATTACCTAAATAATTTTCAATGAACAAAATGGAAACAAATTAAATAGCACAGTTAATAATAATATAATAAAGTGCTATGTGTTGTCATCATTGTATGTTCTCATACAAAGACAAAATGGGCTCTCTGCATTTAACCCATCGCACCTGAGATACACGCAGGTGGAGCAGTGGGCAGCTATTTAGGCGCCCGAGAAGGGGTCCTCTGCAGACGTGAAGTGGGCGTTTCTGGAGAATAGGTGTTTGTAAAGGGCAAGCACTGATTGGATAACTATATTTGATAAGCGTTTATTGATAACATCCTTGCTTTTACTGGATACTAGCTGTATTAGCTGCTCTTTAGGTAAGTTACATCAACTGTTTTATAAAACTGAAAGTTTTCTAAGAAACAGTGTTATATCTGCTGTCAAACACAAGAAGATTTTCTTTAGTCCTTGGGTTGTAGGCTGCACCTGACACAGGTTGCCTTGTGTGTGGTCTGGAAACAATGAAATATGAAACATCTGAAGAGAAACCTGCTCCCATTTGTTAAGAAGTCTGGTCTCAATTAAAGATCATGAGTCCTGTAATGAGATAATGACCCAAAACAAAAGTTAAAAACATAACTTGCTCTTTAGAAGTTCTACTATGAGATCTGATCTATGAAAGGAGCTGAAACATGGAGTAGGACTGACCCTTAAAATGTGAGACAGCTGAGGAAGTTAACCAGTAAACAGAAATATCTGCTCCAGTTGCAGAAATCTTACAGAAACTGACAATCACTCGTCTACAGTGACTGGTTTAAAGGTTGAACAAGAAAATGTGAAGTTAAAGGAAACATCCTTTGTCCCAAGGCCAGTTTAAGTATCATTATTATTTTGGTTACTTTATTTTTCTTTCTTTATGAATCGATTGTAACTATTTTCACATTTTTCAACAACCAAAATGGATTTTGTTTTAGCCCTCCCCACTACCATTTATGTCGCTCTTGTTTTGAAATGTAACTGGAAGTTCTGAGTTAATAGAGGCGGAAAAAGAAGTTGTGGAGACGCCACTAATGTCGAACCGGTTAACACCATAGACATAATATGTCTGTGATTAACACAAACACCTTGTTTTTTATCGTCCAATCAGATGTGGCCCTCCAGATACGCCTTCCGTATTTGTCTGCAGAGATACTTACTTGAAGCACCCAGGGAGCAATTCAGGATTAGGTGTCATGCTCAAAGACACCACAAGATGTGCAATGACCAGGGATTGAACCCAGGACCTTTGGGTCCCGAGTTGGCTGCCCTGCCCCTACACCATCTTGGCCCAGTTGTTTGATAAATGAGCCTGAAAATATTTCCATATTAATGAGGAAAATAAAATTCAGTAGTGTCCATTTTGTTTGATCTCATCTTCTTTGTTAAACATTTGTTGTTTCTAAAAACCGCAGAGCAAACTTAACACCAAAAATCAAAATTTGACAAGTCTGCTGCAGCTGGTCATCCTTCCCTTTTTTCTTTTTGTATGAACTGCTGATCAATGCAAAAACACAGATTACACAACAACACCGACATATAACCTGTGACTCTTCTCGTTTTACACTCTGGATTCTATTCAGATGAGTGAAATTAGATTAACAACAATGAAACGAGATTAGGATAAATACAAGAACAAGAAAAAAAACTGTCAACTGACATGGAGCATCAACTGATAGTTAGATTTCTATGGATGTAGTTTAATGAAAGCTTTATGAAGAATAAAGTCACGCCATGATTGTTAAAATAAAAATGTCAATTAAGTCAGTTGCAGTTTGTTTCAACAACAAAAGAATTTCATACCTCATTGCAGGATGGTGTTGGGCCAAATCCTTTGGAAAGCTTTGTAATAGAAAATAATGTAGAAGAATCAGAATCAGAATCAGTTTATTATTGCCATGTCAATGAACGATGTTCACAAACTAGGAATTTGCTTCGACATAAGGTGCGAATAGTAATAAAGTAAAATAAAGTAAAAATAAAGTAAAAATGAAGTAAAAATGAGAACATTACATAAGACATAAGACCTGTGTACACCCACAAATAAAGTAAAATTAAAAACATAACATAAACATGTGTACACCCATACAATAGAAAACAATAAAAAAGCTTAGAAAACAGTACAGATGGAGTATTCAATTATAATACAGGTGTAATGTGACCAAAGCAGAAGTTATGAGGTAGCATTATGAGTGTTCAGGAGTCCAACAGCAGAGGGGAAGAAACTGTTTTTATGGTGGGAGGTTCTGGTCCGAATGGACCGAAGCCTCCTGCCTGAGGGGAGTGGTTCAAACAGTCCGTGTGCAGGGTGAGCAAGGTCAGCTGTGACCCGACCTGCTCGCCTCACAGTCCTGGAGACGTACAGGTCGTGGAGGGATGGAAGGCTGCAGCCGATCACCTTCTCAGCTGAGCGCACAACGCGCTGCAGTCTGAGTCTGTCCCTGGCAGTGGCCCCGGCGTACCACACCGTGATGGAGGAGCTGAGGATGGACTCGATGATGGCCGTGTAGAACTGCACCATCAGCTTGGCCGGCAGCTTGGCCTTCTTCAACTGTCGCAGGAAGTACAGTCTCTGCTGGGCCTTCTTGATGAGGGAGCTGATGGTCGGCTCCCACTTGAGGTCCTGGGTGATGGTGGTGCCGAGGAACCGATAAGAATTTGCAGTGGTGATGGGGGTATCATTACAGGTGAGGGGGGGCAGAGGGGCTGTGGCTGGGCGTTGAGTTCCAGGTTGTTGCTGCTGCACCAGGTCACCAGCCGGTCCACCTCCCTCCTGTATGCAGACTCATCACCGTCCGAGATGAGCCCGATGAGGGTGGTGTCATCTGCAAACTTAATAAGTTTCACAGAGTCATGGCTGGAGGTGCAGCAGTCGGTGTACAGGGAGAAAAGCAGGGGGGAAAGCACACAGCCCTGTGGAGATCCTGTGCTTACAGTCCGAGTGTCCGAGACAGCTCTCCCCAGCCGCACGCACTGACTCCGGTCTGTCAGGAAGTCTGTGATCCACCTGCAGGTGGAGTCAGGTACATGGAGCAGGGAGAGCTTGTCTTGGAGCAGAGCAGGGAGGATGGTGTTAAATGCAGAGCTGAAGTCCACGAACAGGATCCTGGCGTAGGTTCCTGGGGAGTCCAGGTGCTGCAGGATGAAGTGAAGAGCCAGGTTTATTGCATCATCTACAGACCTGTTGGCCCTGTAGGCAAACTGCAGGGGGTCCAGGAGGGGGCTGGTGATGGACTTGAGGTGAGATGAAACCAAGCGTTCAAAGGTTTTCATGACTAAAGACGTGAGAGCTACAGGTCTGTAGTCATTTGGTCCTGTGACACGTGGCTTCTTGGGGACAGGGACGATGATGGAGGACTTGAAACAGGCTGGGACGTGGCATGACTCCAGTGATGAGTTGAAGATCCCTGTGAAGACCGGAGCCAACTCTCCAGCACAATGTCTCGGCGTGGAGGGTGACACAAGGTCTGGGCCTGCAGCCTTAGGTGTATTCAGCCTTTTAAAAAGCCTCCTTACTTCATCCTCTTGTACAGAGATAGCAGGGGGTTGTCGGGGGCAGTCCAAAGATGTTAAATCAGTTGGGCTGGGGTTGGTGTGGAGGATGGAGGAATGTGAGTCCATGACTTCAAAGCGTGAATAGAAGTCGTTCAGATCGTTTGCCAGTTTGAGATTGTCTGTAGAATGAGGTGCTCTGGGCTTGTAGTTAGTTATCTCTTTCAGCCCCCTCCAGACAGAGGCAGAGTCGTTTGCAGAGAATTTTTGTTCCAGCCGTGTGTTGTACCTGGATTTAGCCTTCGACACCTCCCTGCTAAATCCATACTTCGCACGTCTGTAGTTGTCTCTGTCCCCCCTCTCTGAAAGCAGCCTCCTTCTGCTGACGAAGCTGTCTTAGTTTGGATGTGAACCAGGGTTTATCATTATTGAAAATGACTCTGGAGCGTGATGGGATGATGCTGTCCTCACAGAAATGTATATATGACGTCACGGTGTTTGTGTATTCGTCTAGACTGTCTGTAGAAGCCCTGAACAGGTCCCAGTCTGTGGTGTCCAAACACGTGCGTAGCTCCTCCACAGCTTCACTGGTCCACTTTTTGGATGTCCTCACCACAGGTTTTGAGAGCTTCAGTCTCTGTCTGTATTCAGGTATGAGGTGAATCATCTCATGATCTGAGAGACCCAGGGCAGCACGAGGCACAGCACGAGGCACAGCACGATAAGCACCGCTCACTGTGGTGTAACAGTGATCCAGCGTGTTTCCTTCTCTTGTCGGGCATTTAATAAACTGTTTATATTTAGGTAGTTCATGCCTGAGGTTTGCTTTGTTAAAATCTCCAAGGATAATAACAAGGGAGTCCGGAAAAGTCCGTTCTGCACTCGCAACCTGGTCTGCGAGCGCGCGCTCAGCCTCGTGCACGTCCGCGCACGGTGGGATGTAAACAGCGGCCAGAATAAATGAAGTGAACTCACGTGGAGAGTAGAACGGTTTGCAGTTTATGAAGAGATATTCCAGAGGAGGAGAGCAGTGCTGGGAGATCACTGTCACGTCGGAGCACCAGGCGTTGTTGATAAAGAAACAGACTCCTCCGCCTTTCTTCTTTCCTCCGGAAAGTTCCCGCTGTCTGTCAGCACGGAGGAGCTGGAAACCCTCGAGATGGAGTGCGGAGTCCGGGGTCTGCTCGTTGAGCCATGTCTCCGTGAAGCACAGCACACAGGAGGAGGAAAAATCGCTGTTCCTTCTCATCAGCAGCGCTATCTCGTCCATTTTATTGTTGAGGGAACGGACGTTGGAGAGGAATATCCCAGGTAAAGGCGTGCGTGTACCGCGCCTCCGGAGACGCACGACGCACGAGCGCAGTGGTAAATGTAGTATTACCACTGAACTCATGACTGTTTATCTTTAATGCTACATCAGTCTGGTGCAATCTGACAGTAATAATCTACACTCACTGACAACAAAAGTTATGAGCGCCCCGACGGAGTGGTGAAAATAAAATTAAACTGTTAGTGTTGAAAGATCATATGAAGGAATTGCAATGAAAACAATATGGACACACTGCTGGCTCCATGTCAGTAGGGTAAGCACTCTGAGCCTGGATGCAAGCAGCAGTTTGGTGCCAAACCCAGTCATACAGCCAGTGGTTCTTCTTCTGCAGAAAACTGTCCCACAGCTGTTGTAATCTGTCCTCAGGATCAGGCAAATCGGCACCGAGTCTGAGTTAAAATGCAAGCTGCTTGCATATGTTTGACTGGGAAAGATCAGACTTGAGTGGACACAGAAAGAGCTCAACATGAATAGATACAGTTCATAGACACGTGTGCCATGAGTGGTCTATTTGAAAGGCTTTCCAGGGTGCTGTAAGCTGTCAGGAGGGGTAAGCCATCTGAACATGAGACACTGCTGCGCTCTCTGGTACGTCCCCAGGACCCCTACCAGATTACCTGAAGTCAAACTCCATGATGCCAGGAGTAATACTGGTGGGTCTCTTCAGAGCACTGACAGAAACCTGTCCTCCCCCAAGTCATCATCAATACATTCATCCATCCATTTCCACTATCCATTTCTGTACCAGCTTCATTCGTTCAGGGCCATGGTGAGCTGGTTCTGATCTCCAGCACACAAAGAGCAAGAGGCTAGTTTGACCCTGGACCTGTCTCCTGTCATGTACGTACACCTAAAGGCAATTTAGAATCTCCTAATGTGTGTGTGTGTGTGTGTGTGGGGGGGGGGGGGAATAGAGCACCCAGATAAAACTCACACATCCCTGAGGAGTTTAAACTCTAGAGAAATTTGAACAGAACCTACTTGCTTTCTTACACGTATAAAGATATAAAAAATAATATACAGTATAGTAAAGAAAACTTTAGAGCTACCTCCATCCACCATTGCTTTTGTTTAATGTTTCTTGTTTAGCTCTGATGTGAATCATTAGGTGGATAAAACATGACTGAACTTTAGTCGTAAATCTAATGTAATTTATTGTTCAATCATGTGTAAATGGTAATTATCACACATGCATAACGGCTCTTTGTTGGGGAAACTGGGTGGAAAAATAACATAAAAATGGCCAATATCTGAATGAGAAATTGTCATCACTTAAAAAAAAACTGATTAGTCAATTATTGTTACCACCTCCAGGTAAAATAGCTTCAGGCCACTGTAACTATGAACTGAAAGAAACTGAAAGACACAACTTGGACAAGCGTTGTTATACCTGTGGTGAGCTTCACGCCGATACTTCTTCATCGCCACACAGTCCATGTTGGCTGGTAAGTCAGCACAATTCTGCAGACGGTCACTCCATGAAGTTGTCATCTTTAACCGTTAAGAATGTTTCTATAGGAAAAAAAGTGTGTATGAAACCAGAATTGGTAAGAATTATCCAGGTAATACAATCCTGTAGTTACGTACTGCAGCCATCTGTAGAGGTAGATGGTGATGCAGCTTTGCCAACATGAGCTATTTATTCAGAGAGGAGCCTTTTCCTGGCCATAAGTGATGATTAGAGCTTCTTCAACTCACTCCGTCATACATTTTGATATTTAACCTAACTGAAGGGTGGCACAGTGGCTCAGTTGGTAGAGCTATTGCCTCTCAGCAAGAAGGTCGCTGGATCAAATCCCAGCCAGGAGCCTTTCTGGGTGGAGTTTGCATGTTCTCTTCGTGCATGCGTGGGTTTTCTCTGGGTTCTCCAGTTTCCTCCCACAGACCAAAAACATGCATGTTGGGCTGATTGGTAACTCTGAACTGTCCCTGTATGACTGAATTGTTGTTTTGTCTCTCTGTGTCCCTGTGATGGACTTGCGACCTGTCCATGTTGTCCCCCACCTCTCACACAGAGACTGCTGGATATGTCACAGTGACCCCCGTGACCTGTGTCAGGGGAATGCAGGTAAAGGTCATGGATGTTTCTCACTAATGTTAAATGAATGTGTGCGAGTTAGAGAGTTGTTTTGTCTGCTCAGAGAGGAGCCTGCAGGCGCACGGAGGTGCACCTGATCAACTCCAAGGCCTTCTCCGAGTCTGTAAGCTGGAAAGCCGAGGTGGTCTTGACCTCGCCTCTGTCTCATAATAATCATGTATTATAAAGCACTTCTTGCTCTAAGCATGTAATTTTTGCACATCTGTGAAAGCTTCCTCGTGACCGTCTACTCGTACAAGTAAAGACCGGTTTAAAAATCTTCTCGTGTCCTCAGAGTGGCTTGTTAGAGTAACCAGAGATGATGAAAGGATATTTACTGATCCAAAAGGAAGAAACGAGTAAAGATAATAGAAGGATGGATATAACATGAAAAGCCCAGAAAGGCCGTCGGCTGGGATTTGATCAGGCAACCTTCTCGCTGAGAGGCAGCAGTTCTACCTACTGATCCACCATGCCAGCCCTTGTTCTATCCACACTGGAAAAATATTGATGGGATTGTTTTGGTGACCTGGGATGATCCCTGCCACAACTTCCCCCCCCCACCCCAATTAACGACACAGAGACAGTTCTGTGGTTTCCATGGTGACCATGAGTCTGGACTTGGTTCTTCACACTTTTACACTATGTATCAAGTCTGTACATCATGATGTGCAAATTATTATTTTTTTTAATATTAACACGAAGTTATGCTGCAACTTTCGGCAGCAGCAGCTGCACTGAACCATTTAATATTTCTTCAGACATTTTCTATTATCGATCCATCATAACCATCGATTATCAAACATGAAAAACTAACTACCACGGTGTGAAACCAGTGATTTCCCCCAGTTAAATTTCCGTAAATACTACGTTATAAACATGAATGTGTCTCAGGTGAAGTTAGCAGGTTCTGTACTGAAAGTGTAACTTTATAGTCTCTGACAGCAGGAAGTGAAGGTTCCGTTGTTTCTATTCTTGCGCCACTTTCTTCACAGCCGCAGCTGTCGGTGCGCAAGATCTCCGGTAGCGTGTTAGCATACACTAAGGACACGCTCAAGAACAACACTAAAACAAACAAACAGTTAAAGTCTGTATTTCATTTGAAGTAAAACATATTTCATTATATCCTTTAATAACAAGGACTAGAAACAACACCGCCTACCTTGTGACGTTACTTGAAGAAGGCTTTAGGGGGCAGCGCATGCGCAATAAAGAGAGTAGAGTTAGATTGGATCGACTAAGGGGACGGTGGACCCCCAATACCTCGACTACTCTATGTGATGGCGGCTAATTAACAAATATATCGTAGACTCTACTGATTAAAAAGATATTAAATTACTTTCTTGAATCAATAATAATTAATAAGAGCCATTTACAGCGATTCATTCGTGCAGTTGATCCATTCTAACTAAACTGCAGAACTGCCTTATAGGTGCATACCGCCCCCTGCTGCAAAGGAGGAAGTAGTTTATGCTGCAGTCCTGATGCATGCTCAATAATCCAGGTAGAAATCTGGTCCAGAGGACCAGATTTAACTTGTTTAGATTTATGCTGCAGTGTTCTCTGGAGTGTGAACAACATTTTCAATAAAAATTTTGAACAATTGGACGAATGTACTCTTACCCTGATACATGCTCAATAATCCAGGTAGAAAAATCCAAAAAAGTTCAATCTGGTCCTCTGGACATTCAAAAAACAAGAAAACAAAAAACAAAGCAAACTGCAGTTTGACTCCCATCACCCTTTGGAGCACAAGTTAGGAGTCATCAGGACTCTGTATCACAGAGCAGACAGCATCCCCACTAGCTCGGGAGCCAGGCAGAAGGAGAAATCCTACACAAAACAGGCTCTAGAGCAGGGGTGGGCAATTATTTTTTCCATGGGGCCACATGAGAAACAGCAAATATTGTGGAGGGCTGGCACAAATTACTTTTTCATTCAACCTTTATTTAGACAGGTAAATCCGATTGAGCCTCTAGGACTCATTTACAAGAGAGACCTGATTTCAACTTAACTCAATACTGCATAATAATAGTATTTCATTATTAAAAGCAGTACATAGCACTGTTTTAACAAGCTGGTAAGAGTATTTGTTATGATTAAGCAACGAAAAAAGCGAGGTTTCCATACAAAAATGTCATTTATTCAATTAAATTTCCCAGTGCAATGGTAAACTGTTAACATTTTTACCATTTGTGACGTTATATTAGTGATCATTTTCAGTCACATTCACACCAAAACTCATTTTGAGTTTTATATACTGCTGGAAAAAGTTCTTAGCTTTGTAAATATATCACAATATTGTCTTTGTACTCCAAATATTATGAAACATCATATAATAGTGATCGTCACTGAACTGTGATTTCGAGTCCCGGTTCTTTACGTGCCTACATTTGTAGTCTAAAAATCTCATTTGGTGTTTTTCAGTTCTTTTTTCTTGTTTAGTGAGAGAAGTCTAGTCTCTGTTGGGCTTTAATGGAAATGTTAAAGTCAGGTTGAAGGTCTGAGGTGGAGATGTGAAGCAAAGCTGACATCATTATTGAGAGAGGATCTATATCTGATTTGGTTAACTTCATTTGTTTACATGTGTATTTTGTAATTCCCCTTACGGGGGCCGGTCAGAGTCAACCAAAGGGCCGCATGTGGCCCTGGGGCCGTACAATGCCCAGGTCTGCTCTAGAGCAATGTGGATATCCTAACTGGGCCTTCCTGAAAGCAGAGAAGAAACCCAAACAGGACTCCAGTCAGCCATCAGGTGAAAAGGAGGAACCCAGACCCAGACCAGTGGTCATTCCATATGTTGAGGGAGTATCAGAGAAACTGAGACGTTTATTTTCTAAACATAACGTCCCAGTGGCTTTTAAACCCCAAAATACATTACGGTAAAGACTGGTTCATCCCAAAGATCCAGTCCCCCGGCACAAACAGAGTAATGTTGTGTATGCTGTTCAGTGTCGGGAGGGCTGTGATCAGTCTTACATCGGGGAAACTAAACAGCCACTGGCCAAAAGGATGGACCAGCACAGAAGATCAACATCATCAGGCCAGGATTCTGCAGTCTACACTCATCTCCAGGCCAGCGGTCACTCTTTCAAGGATGAAGATGTTCACATCCTGGACAGAGAGGAACGATGGTTTGAGAGAGGAGTAAAGGAGGCCATCTTTGTGAAAAGAAATCGTCCATCATTAAACAGGGGTGGAGGCCTCCGGGTTCAACTGTCCCCCTCTTACAATGCTGTGATTGCTAGTATCACTCAGCCCTCTGTGAACAGTAAACAGCCATCAGTGTGCTAATGATCCATTGTTAGGCTGATGGTCCTTCTTGAGCATGTGATCAGCTGGTTTTGGTTGTCAGCAGCAAAACTGGTTGATCCACTCTGAGAAGGTTCTGTTTATAAGACTGAGTTTGTTGCAGCTCCTCAGACTGAAGAAGTTTTTGGATTAAAGATGAAACGTTTCAACAAGTTTTTTTTTTTTTTAGAATCCGTCCAGGGGACCTGCCTTAACTTTGTTGGATTCATCTAAATCTTTTAGAAATGGTGCTGTAGGATCCATGTGGTGTTTTAGCTTGACAAATGCAAAGCTTGATAAATTGTGTTCCAAGAGGACAATGATCCCAAACACACATCAAACTTGTTCATGGATTGTTTTTAGAACCCTGCGACCCAAAAAGGAAGAAGCAGGTAAAAGATAATGGATTGTTTTAAATATTTAACTTTTTTTTTTTGGTCTGGATTTAAATAACCTTTTCATAAAACCAATAGCCAAACCTTTGGTTAGCCTGTCACAACTCTTCATTATTCATTAACTCAATTAATGTTCTAATACAAATAAAATATTTTAATTGACGTGTCTCACATCCAGCAGCTAATTAAACAAAACTCAAGTTTAAACTTGTTTCCTTTTTAGAATACACTCATTTTATTTTTAAAACTAACAAAAGAATTGTTTCTCCTGGTTAATTTATCCATCTCTCCCTTTATTCCCCACTTACACGTAGTTAGGTCACAGATGAGGAAGAAACTTGGAGGAACCTATAGTTTGTGGGTAAGCAGGCCACATTTGCGAGCCAACAAATCCTGGTTTAAAATGAACAATGTGCACTCGCCCCATTACTGTTGAAACAACAACCAGTGGGCAGTGACGTGGCTTATGAGAACCACATTTGGTGTTCAATACAGCTGAA